TCCACTAGTCAAAGTTAAGTGTTTAAGTAAAGTAGTCAAGTATTAGAATTATTAAAACGTAAGGGCGTAGACTGACCCCAACTCACTCACTAGGCCTTAGTAAGGGAATAGGCGAGAACCAGATCGGTAGCAGCTAGCTAGAGGAGCAGTTCGAGAGCAACCAGCTAGAGGAGGGCAGTGCAAGTGTCAGGGAGGATGCCTAGTTAAGATTTTCAGTAGCAACAACGATAGAGACTACCTAGTTATTTACATTTTATGATTATGAGTATAGACTGGAAAACATATTGAGATTTAAAGTTTGAGTTTAATTTGCCCACGTGTTAGGGCTTTGCTCTGAACTACAAGTGTGTGTTTTCAGTATTTTATTTATGAAAAATTTTCCCGCTGCAATTTAAGATTTGAGCATTTTATTTATCAAGGGTATTTTAGTAAAAGTAGTACTCGGTCGGATTAGAGAGTTTCAATATATGTGCTATTCAGATTGACAATAATCATGTTTTACATGACCATGCAAAGCACATCGAGGTACATGTGCATTTCATCCGGGAAATTGTTCCTGGCGGGTGTCTTAAGCTCTAGTACATCTTCCTCAAAGACCAGATCTGCTAACTTTTTAACTAAGGTGGATAATCTTCTTGTCATTGATATTTGTTTGGCAAATTGATAGAGCGAACCAACCATCAATTTTGGGAGGCTTTTAAATATAATAACCTTACGGGATATTATTTTAATTAGTGTAATAATTCGCTAGGGTTATAATAAGTTGTATGAGTATATATATGTTGTACGATCATGTGTATAGTGTACGGTTTTGGGAGATCATAATAATATTGTCTGAGAAAGTGTAGTTCTCCATGGACTAGTCCTGTTCATATCGAACGTGAAAACCATATAAATCCTATGTATTGTGTCCTTTTACATGATTTCGTTGGTTTGATTTACAAAATCACCCTTTGTAAAATCCTATTCCATTTTCCAAAAAGGCACTAAAGAAGATGCTATATAAATATTTTCTAGTCACATAAAAAATTTCATAATCTAATAGACCTAATCAATCGAGCTTAAATCCTAGTAGTAGTATTCCCTCAATGCCTGTCACGAGTAACTGTCCCTTTAAACGCAGGGTTGGTCCTAAGATTTTGGAGACCCGGTTCTGTAAACAAGATGTGGCCCAAATTGTTTCTTAAAAAATATAATAAAAATATAAACAAAGCATCAACCAATAAATAAAAATCAAATCATTATTTAAAAATAACATCTATCTAATATGATTTGAAATAAAGAGTGAAAAATGATTTAAATAGATAATGTAATTAAGAAATTGATTATTTGATAGATTAAATAAAAAATTCAAACCAAAGAATACAAATAGTATCTGAATTGACAATGAATCAATTAATTCGACTCACCTGAATAAGTTAAGAGAATTTTAATTGAGTAGAAGATGAAAATAATTTTAGATGAATCATACATTATAAAAAACAATAGAGTAAACTAAATTAGATATGAGAAATTCATATATTTTTTAGTCTAAAGTTAAGTATGCTATAAATTATTTATAATTTATTTAGTTATTTTTTCCTTTTCTACTATTGGTGGCTTGTAATTATTCTTGTTAACGTTTAAAAAATTAATACATATTATTTAATTAATTTAGCATTACTGTCTTGCTAGTACAAGCAGATTAATTGAAGAAATTGAATATTTTTTATCCTTCGTAAAGTGAAGATGAGTTAAAGCAAAAAAAAAAAAACGTAATAATGCTAATAGTGACGCATCAACAATCTTACCTCTTTTATTCTACTTATGAACACAAGACAAAGAATGAGTTATGTTATATGGTTTGAAAAAAGGTTTATTAAGAAAGCATGTATTCCACTCATGTGATTCGTTCGTTCCTTTAGCCTTCATATTAATTTTTTTAATATTATTATTTAGACCCATAATCAAACTCAATTCATAAATCTTCTATCATTTTAAATTCATAATCGAAATCTAATAATTCATAATAATAATTAGTCATATACATAATGGAGATACGAAGGCCCCTATAATTTGGAGGCCCTGTGCCGGAGGTCATGCCAACACATCCTTAGGGCCGAGCCTGTTTAAACAAAATAATTAACCAAACCGATTAAACTTTACTTTGGTTAATTTGGTTATTTTATTAGTTTGGACGGTTTGGTTATGATATTGTATTCCATGGTTAATAGAATTTAGTCTTATTTGGTTTGGTAATTACCATGGTAACCATTTGAACTCCCCTAGCCCCTAGGGCTAGGAGTAGACACCCCTAAAATTTGAAAGAATGTAGTATTTGTTGTAAATTTGAACACCCCTAGCACTTTATTTGTTGTTATAATTTTGTTATAAATATCATTATAAATGTCTAGCTAGTATCCTCAATTTTTTCAAATGCCCAAAATTAAACCCACGAACTACCACTTATTTCTACTGTTATTCAACACTATATTTTATCACGAAGAGTTTGATCATCTTTCTAGTTCTTCTATAGGATTTTGAGAATTATTATCTTTGTGTTAAAAATGAAGAGTTATTTTGTTGATTAAAAACAGATGATGAGTTAGCTGAGTTGATAGTGGAGACAAAATTGAATCTATCATATCCATGAGTCTATTTGCTACTCAAAGTTGTATTGATTTTACCGGTTGCAACACCAAGTGTTGAGAGAGCTTTTTCAACTTTGGGTTACTTTAAGATCAAGTTTCGAAATCGATTATATGATCAATTCGTGAATTATTGTCTAGTAGGATATACAGAAAGAGATTTGTTAAGCACGTTAGACAATGAGTATTTTATATATATTTTTTTAAATATGATAACACGTCGTGGACTTTTGTTGTAACTTGTAAATAGTAAGATATTTTATTATTTAATAATTTTTATTATCATTTAATTTTTGAGAAATGTTTATTATTTTGCAAAATGATGATTAAGTTCGCTAAATCATTGTCATATAATAAGTTAACAATCAATTAAGCTCCATGGAGCATGATGCACGCTATAGGGATGATAACAAAACTCGAACGCACGAGTACCCTACCAGACGTAATTCGGTCAACATAGGTAAAATCCGGGTTACGTTGATGGGTTTTGGGGCGGGTTCGGGTTTAAATCCGTTCACTATTCATCGGGTTGGGTTTAGGTATACCCACCCCATGGATACCCGTCCACACCCATATAATTAATTTTCTCGGTATATTTAATATTTTAAGCAACTAATCTTCTTTACGTTTGTAGAGACATGTCTATTATTTTCTTTATAATTGTGTAGAATGAAGTTGATATTATCAAGTGGAGAGTAAAGAAGCTTAATTGACAAATAGGAAGAAGCTTTCAATTAATCATATTGTTTATACATAATTTGTGATTTGCTTCAATTTTCTTGAGTTTTCTAGATTGGCGTTGAACAATTTGTATGATTAATTTGGGATTTGTTTGAATTTTCTAGAATGGTGTTTTATATATGAATAATTTGTAATGAGAGATTGATATTTGACTTTTATTTTGATAGAAACTTGATATTATAAATTTTTTACGACAAAAACCCATGGGTACCCACGAACCCGCGAATACCCAGCGAGTTGGATTGGATTTGAATTTTCCAAACTCAATGAGTTTTACCTTGGGTTTTTTCACGAATAAACCCATAGATTTGATTTTTGGTTGGACAAAATCCGACCCATTGCCATCACCAACCTATTCATTTGTTCATTTTGTTGAACAAAAGAACAACAATAATTTCTTCTTCCTCGTCTACACGAGAGAGAAAAGGGAGGAATGGAGAAAAGGGAAGATACACATATTTATTAGGGTCCACTAGCAGCACCTTTAACGTTTTATGTTTGATATTAATTTAGAATTAGTAAAATGAAAGAAAAGAAACCAACAATGGAATCTCATATAGGATAGTAATGGGTCGGGGTTTGTCAAATCCAAACCCAAATTAATGGGTTTATCCGTAAAAAAAATTCGGGGCACTGGGTTTGAATAACTCAAACCCAACTCGCTGGATATCTGCGGGTTTTTGGGTACCCATGGGTTTTTATGGTAAGAAATTTACAATAACAAGTTCCTATTAAAATAAAATTCAAACATCAATTTCCCCATACAAATTATCCATACATAAAACACCATTCTAGAAAATTCAAACATATCACAATTAAGTAGTCACGTTACGTGCACATTATTTTTGGGACATGCTACACTGAACTTACTCTAAGCGGTAAGTATGCATGGGGAAGTGATTTCTTGGCAATAGTATAACCAGATATGAGGTAACTTGGAACATTTTGGTACCATAGTATCAATGCTCGAGTCTTCTATGTTTTTTACTATACGCAAAGCTAGAATTTCAACCTCCAGTACTTTTCAAATACATGTATTTAACTGATACACATTAAGAATATAATAATTCAATGGATGCATAAATTTAAAGAATCTCAACCTCCGAACATGGCGTAAATTTTTGTTGTTTTAAGTATGAATTCTATCTACTTCCAACAAGTTCGGGTTTGGAGAAAAGGATATCGGTAAAATTTTATAGAAATTTATGTTTTTGTTTGTTTCTTTTTGTATTATAGATTTTAACTTTAGAGATTTCAAATCTAAAAAATCTATGAATATAAAATTTCTCATAATTAGAAAGATTCTATATCTTGATTTTAAGAATTTTTTTATCATACTTTATCTCTCCTTTTTTTATTTACCCAATTATATATCTATATCAATAAAGTTTTAATATTTTTCAAACCGTTTTAATATTTTTATTAAGGATAAATATGTCATTTAATATAAAATAATAATTTTTATTTTTATAGATAGTTAACATTAAAAAATCACAATGACCAAATAATGAACTTCTCCAAATTTCCCTAGTAAAATTTCTTCAAATCTCTGTAAAAAAAAATTCTTCAAATCAGTTCCAGATTGGTGAAATATCGACATGCTATACAATCTTCTTGGGCTACCAAAGGGAGATGGTCCAAGTGAAACCAAGAGTTTTGGTAAAGCCCAATTGGCCCATTCATTTGGTTTCCTATATCCCTATATTCCGCCAATCGAAATTGGCCCCAACTTCGAAATTCTATAGCGCCAAAACAATCTGCTCCATCCTCCGTCGGCGGCCAATTCCCGCTTCTCAGCCTCCGCCGCTTGCTAGATCGTTGCCGTCAGCGTCACTCGGATCTGGTTTCCATCTCCGTTCAGCTTTCCATTCCGGTAAGAATGCATTCTGTAGCTGCTCTGTTGTTGATTCCAATTTGCGCAGCGTTATGAATTTGGGCCATCAGAAATCTCCGCTCACTTTCCAATTAGGGTTTTCTCAGAAAGCTCGATCAAAACGATATTGAAGTTCCTTCTTGGAATCGACTTGTAGTTTGTGAGGTGTGAAATTTTAGGAATATAGGGTTCTCTATCGAATTCCATTAGCAAAGAAGCCTTAAGAAAGATGAAGAATCTTGGTGTTCTATGTCTTGACTTCATCAGCTATTTCACCTGTTGTTCTGAATGCTTTGCAGGGGACAAGAATGAAAGTGAAGCTTCTCCGTATCCTCGGAACTTTCTTTCCATTCTCGACTTCTTTTCGTTGATTTACTGCCCACCCTCTCAAGTCCTATTTCCCAATGCTTGAGTGTGTCATATTGACATAATGCAATTCATTTCTGCTTGTCAATGTTACGGAAGATTTCAATTGATATCTCTAGAGACTAAACCTTGCAGGAGTTCTTAGTAAATAGTTTCCTTGACTGATTCCCCCCTTGAACTTCTTCCGCTCGGGATCTACAACAGAGTATGTCTTTGTTTTCCCCTTGACCTTACATTTTGGTGCTTAAGGAATCATGTTTATTTATCTGATGCATCCCGGGCACTCAACCTTGTGTGTCTTTGGATTCACTGTGGATACGGAATTGAACTCTCTTGACTATTGGCTACTTATGTTTATCGTTAGCTATAACCTTGTTTCTCTTTGGTATCCCAGATGGCATGCTGTTGCTTCGTGGACCTGGGATGCAAAAGATGAAACCTGCGGGATTTGCAGGATGGCATTTGATGGTTGTTGTCCAGACTGTAAGCTCCCTGGCGATGATTGCCCACTGAGTAAGTTTTCATTCGAAGAACAAAGGTCTCAATTTACTTTTAGATAACATTGGATTTATAAACGCTGGGTTATCGTCTTTATCCAACCCCATATTTCACGCATTGCCTTTTCAGTTTGGGGTCAATGCAACCATGCCTTCCATCTCCATTGCATTCTGAAATGGGTCAACTCACAGACTTCTCAAGCCCACTGCCCTATGTGCCGTGGGGAATGGCATTTCAAAGACTGAAAACACCCATCCAGCAGCTGCTGTTAGCTTTCTTCTCTTTTGTTGTTGTGGTCTAAACAACGATGGTCGATGGGTATGTCATCCATAAGATATCAGCTCTTTCAGCACTTTCAGAGAGAGCTCTGAGCTACAGCCTACAGCTGATCTTCATTATTGGGGAGGTACTTTTTCAAATATGACCACTTACGATGTGGACTTCAAATTCTTGTGCTTGATCAACACTGACATATATCTAGTCTTTCACCAAAACACACATCAACATAGTGAATCAATCATGGACATGTGAAAATCGTAGGCGGCATCCTTCGCTCACTAATCATTTCTATTCGTGCTTCCTTCCTGCCTTTGCATAAAATCTCCTGTCCATGCTTTGGCAGCAGGCAGATAGGACTAAGGTCCCAGGGGTATGGATTTATAAGGGTAAGTAGGAGGCAAGATCAAGTGATTGTGGGTGGAAAAAAGCTCTAGTGTTTAAGAGTATATCTAGGTCATACATAACACAATGTAGTTTAGTGAAGAAATAATCTTCCTCTCTTGCTCCGCCACTTGTACCATGTAGTATAGTTGACATAGCCGTTTATGTGATTTTTACACATTACAATACACTATTTGGGCATATATGCATCAGGTTTATGTTTTCATGAATTTGATGATTGCCATTTGCCACAACTCTTTCACTTGATGCCCACTTTGGTATTTTTATTAACTACTTGTTGCTAGAGCCTAGGGGGTGTGATACGGTTCAGTCTGCTCCAAATCAAACTCATGAGAATCGTAGTCTATTAGCGAAAGGCATCTTAAGATCAAGGATCAGATCATCATTGCATTCGGTCTAATTGGTTCGGTATGATCCAAATATTAGTTCGGTCCATAATTTTTTCAGTAATTGTATAATTCATGAGACCAAATAGCAGATCATATTATACTCGGTCCGATCCAAACTTCAATACGAACCACTTTTCTGAGATGATTTAAATATGGATTGAGTTACCATAATACTTGTCCTCGTGGAAGTGATAAGCATTGACTTTAAAAGATGCCCACTTCTCTCTCACTTGCACAAGAGAAAGAAATCCAATACTGTCAAACCACGAATTGTGAAACCGTATCAAATATCAAATCAGTGACTCTAGTACAAGGAGGGCAAAAATATATGTAATTGTGGATGTCCGAATCCGACTTAATTGGGTAGGGTAAAATCCCAATTCGAGATATTTTCAGTGGGTACGGGTAAAACCCGAACCTGAATATTGCGGGTAATGGGTGGCAATAATTTTTTCACTATCCAACCCGAAACCGTCCGATTATACACATGCATATAGGGGTGGAAATCGGTACGGTATCGGTATCCCAATACCAAATATCGAAATCCCGAATACCGAATTACAGCCTAAAGTCAATCCCAATCTAAATCACTAAATAATTTCGGTATCTCAATCCCAATCTCTAAATATTACGGTATCCCAATCGGTAATTCGGTATCCCAATTGGTATAATCGAATACAAAATTAATTACCTTTGTAATTACTAATTAAATATATAAATTATATTTTATTGTTTAATTTAGGGGGAAAAGACTAAGCAAAGATTCTTGAATTAGGATATTATTAAGGAGAATGGAGGAGAGTAGAAATCTCAAGTTCTTGTTATTGGTAATCGTTAATTTGACGAATTCTAGGTTGAGAGACGACTATTATTAGTGATGGATTGATCTATGTATAATTAAATGACACTCTTGGTGGTTGAGGGTCGTGTAGTAGTGAATGAGAGAGTCTAGTCGAGAGGATAAAATACACACTAGCTTATATTTCGGTATTGATCGGCATTTCGGTATATGTCAATCCTAATCCCGTAATCCCTAATACCGAATAACAATTGAAATTCAATCCCAATCCCAATCTCAATCCCAATCCCAATCCCAAGAAATAATATGTGTATTTGGTAATACCAAATATAGACAAATTTGGTGCGGTATTCGGTATATCCCAAATACCGGTACCAAACTTCCAGCCCTACATGCATATGTGTTTTGTCTAGAAATAATAATTATTTTTTCTCTAACATATTTTATTTTTAGCATATAAATAAAATATTTTTATGAAATTCTGTTGTTTTAATTGATTTTCTTTATTCTAGTGAATTATTGTCGTATTTTTTCTCTTTTGTAATGTGAGTAAACGTGTGAATATTAACATATTGGTTGAGTTATAAAGATAAATTATTATCTATGGATAATCGTGGATACCCGAAACCCGAATGGGTACAGACGTGGTTTTGATTTCATACCTGTTTCTTTCTTATGTGGATATGGGTTTGGGTAAAATCCGCCTCCGACCCGTTGCCATCCTTATCAAGTACTCCAAGGTATATAAAAGCATACCAACTTTATCACGGGTACATAATTTAGCCGGTACAATCAGAAAGTATGACATAACAAACAGTGGCGTAGTCAGGAATTTAGTTAAGGTAGGTCCAATGTCAAAAAGAAACTATTGGTGTTTTACAACAATTCATGACGTGTTTTCATGTATTAAATATATTTAAAATATGTTCATCATCCAAACTATAAGGATGTTACTCTCAATTTATTCAACTACAAATAGTTTATGGAACATTAAATTATCTCACAAAAAATGTCAGGTCTTAAATACGAACCATGAAGTTAGTGGCAATGATACTGGTTCAAGTAGGAAGGTCCTCTATTCGACTCTCCTTTTCAGCAAACTATTGATAATGTATTTTCAGGGTTTGCAAAATTGTACTATAGGCAGCCCCATCGAAACAAACTCTTTATTAGGTCAAAGCCGGTAAGAGCTTTTAGCGATATAAAATGATTAAATCACAATTTCACCACAAATACATTAATACTGACTTTTCAATTATAATATCCGATATGGTTGTTGATTTAGGAAGTTCCAAGTACCAAAATGTAAATATACAATTCGCCTGTAGTTAGGGTTGACTTGTCCAACGTATATATATGTATCATGTAAACCCAGTAAAGACTCAACGAACATATGAAGTTTAGCTTGGAGAGTTCTATAGTTGTAAGTATTCCCGCCTATCGCGCGGGTGACCCGGGTTCGTTCCCCGGCAACGGCGCCAAAAACTTGACTCACTCCTACTGTCACTCTAGAAAATGGCCAAGTGTAACCACCTCCTAAAGCGTAGTATAGCAGGTTTGGGTTTTAAATGTCAACCCAGGTCCTAGATGTGATGACTACTCAGCGAATTCTTGGTGAAATTTTAGTGCAGGTTCAAACAAGCAAACAAGTAAAGCAAGCAATTGAACGGTTGTTTTCAAGTCGAGAGAGGTTACCCGGATATGGTTCCCCCTAGACTGCAGTTAAGCCGAATTGCAATTGACCAAGTTCAGTTTCTATGATAATTATACCGCGGGAGGTTCTTAAACAGTCTGAAGTCTCGACTAAAGGTCTCCAGACCCTCTCAATCTGAGTCCCCAGCGGGCGACTAACCTCCACCGGAGTAAACAGATTGAGGCCCTAACGAACCAAACCTCCACTGCCGAAGTAAATTCGGTACAGAATAGTGAACTGGCTCCTCGACTAAAGTTGCCAATTCACTATCTTCAATTAAGGGTGCTCTATTAACCTAGGCAGAAATAACAGGAATTTGATCAGGATTCAAGTCATTCAATCATTCAAGCCTCAATTGAATATAATCAAATCATGAAATCTGTACTTGGGTTCATACAATCAGACCTAACATACAAATCTAGGGTTCTCCATACCCAGATGAATGGGAAAACTACTCCATGGAGAAAGAAGCAAAAGCAGATTCAGATGCGGAAACCATACTGTGAAGGATAGGTTTTTGCTCCTGGTCGTCAATCGGCACTTCTCCAAGCTCAAGCCGGGCTCCAATGGTGATGAAGATCAAGCTAGGGCACTTGGGAACTCTGGTTCGTCGCTTTCTCTATCTAGGAATCGCTCTGTCTCTCTAAAACTCGGAACTCCTTCTCCTTTGGCTCAAATCTGCCTAAAGGCCAACCCTGGGCAAAACACGGTCGAGGGGACGACCGTGCTTTGCTTTTGCCCGCCCGTGTTTTGCCCCGTGTTAAAAACACGCCCGCGTCGGCCAAAACACGGTCGTGCCTAAATATGGACACGGCCGTGTTTTGCTTTAGGCGCGCCCGTGTTTTGCTTTTCCATCAGGTCAGCTCTCGGCAATAAAAACACTAGTGTGACTGTTTGTGTACACGGTCGTGTTTTGGTTTAGGCCAGCCCGTGCTTTGGCCCCAGCTCGACCGAATGACTTCCAAATGCCCCGAAACTCGTGCTTAGCCTTTCCTTCGACGTCCGGGACCTGAAATATGACAAAGTAGCACAACCTGGCGTAAAACGGGCCAAAAATACACAACTACTAGCCGCAAACGAATAAGAACTAAGGGTGCAAACATGTGCAAATACATCGTTATCACCTGTAGTTAGGGTTGACTTGTCAAACGTATATATATGTATCATGTAAACCCAGTAAAGACTCAACGAACATATGAGTCTCTCCATCGATCATTTAATCTATAGGAACTCGAGAATGTGGAGTATTTTCTAGGCTTGCAAGTTTAAAGGTCGACTAATGGTCTGTTTGTCTCTCTGAAGAAATACATCACAGATTTGCTTGAGTATGCAAATTTTGGTTCGTGTGTTCCATGTTCAGCGCCTATGGAACAAAATTTGCGCCTAAACAAGGAAAGTGGAGAGTTATTGGAAGACCAGTCTACGTATTTGAGTTTGGTGGGAAGCTTGATTTATCTCACACATACTTGTCCTGACATCTGTTATGGAGTTCAAGCAGTTAGTTAGTATCTGGGAGTGGCACATACACAGATTACTTTGCTACTTGAAGAAAACCCAAGATGTTGGTATGTTTTCTCCAGCTGCAGGACAGCCGATTATTGAAGTCTTTGCGGATGTAGACTTTGCAGGCTGCAAAGATACACGTGGCTCCAAGTTGTGATGGTGTGTATTAGTGGGGCAGTCATTCGTGTTCCAATGCGGATTTATGGTGATAACACTAATGCGATTCAGATTGCCATAAATCCAGTTTTACAGGACAGGATGAAACACATCGAGGTTCACGTTCTCTACAAGTAGTTAGTCTCAGATAGCGATGGCAATTTGAACCCGCCCCGCGGATATTACCCGACCTGACCCACGAAGGGGCGGGTATAACCCGACCCGCAGTAGCTAGGGGCGGGGCATGGGTATATACTTCCGACCCGCTTTCCCCCACTCGCCCCATTCTTGGCTTATTTGACCTCAATTTCTTGCAATATCTATACATATTTCTCCTATTTTGACTTTTCTTCAACTAGTTAGAGTCGATCTTTCAACAGGTTAGACTCAATTACCCATTCTTTTATTACTGTTTTTTATTCGTAAAGTGTATTCTCATTCGTTTTATCGTAAAAAGTAAAAATTGCGTAATTTTTTTTCAAATAACATTTAAAAGTGGGTCGACCCGCCCCATTCCGTACTCTCAAGGGTCTCCCCCCCCCCCCCCCCCCCCCCCCCCCCCCCCCCCCCCCCCCGACCCGCAATAGCGTGGGGCGGGGCATGGGTATTGAGGTACCCGCCCCGCCCGCCTCATTGCCATCACTAGTCTCAGAAGGAACAATTCAGGTTGGATACTTGTCTACAAAAGATCAGACTGCAGATATACCAATTAAGACGGTTGCCTCAAGCAAGAAATGGTATCTCTCATCCAAATTGGTGCTGCGCACCCAACATCAATTTACGAAGTTCCAAGTACCAAAATGTAACTATACATTCCGCCTATAGTTAGGATTTGCTTGGCTAACGTATATGTATGTATCCTGTAAACCCAAAAAAGAATCAACGAAAATAAGAAGTTTAGCTTGGAGAATTGTAGCTCTTTCGTGTAGTAGTCCTGATTATTAGTGAAACCACGTTAAATGCTTGTGTTCGTTTACGTTTAGCTTGTTAAATTGTCAATGGTTACAATCCTTAATATTTTTATGAGCGTGTTTCATATTTGAGGTAGTGTAGGACATTCCTCATCTCCCTGTGACTCCGCCACTGATAACAAATATTGTTTGCAGGCCAAGATCGAAGATAACATATATTTTCAGAATATATGTGAAAATGTGAAAATTAAAGTTAAAGTTACTCCAAAATCCCTTATATTTAAACATATTCCTATTTTTGTTAAATGTTGCAGTACTAAAAAAATTATGCAAAATAAAAAAAAACTTTGCGACGTTCGGATTGTGGAGCACGGGAATTTTTTTTATATATAGGGAATTTCTGCCAAAAGAGCAATATTTGTCCAAACGAGTAAATTTTGGATGGCTATCTTCCGAGAAAACGTCATTTGCTACCCGTAAAAAAGCAAATTTTCGAATTTGTCAAACTTTGGAGGATCATAACTTTGTGCTCCGCAATCCGAACGTCGCAATTTTTTTTATTTTTCATAATTATTTGAGTACTATAACATTTACTAGGAATAAATTTTCAAAATAGGAATATTTTTAAATATAAGGGGTTTTGGAGTAACTTTAACTTTCTAATTTTCACATATATTCTGAAAATATTTCTATTATAAAAGTTGTAGTCCTCGAAAAGTTATGCGGAATGAAAAAAAAGTTTGCTACGATCAGATAACCGAGCACAAAGTTAAGGTTGTTGGAAATTTCAAAGGAGTAGTTCGACTGTTCGAGTTCACTGAATTCGAACCACTTCAGCCCCACATGGTTCGAGACTTATATCCTCGATCTACGACTAGATCGAGTCTCCTACACTCGAACCGGATAGTAGTTTGAGTTCCTCAAACTGGAACCACTCCAAACTTAGGTATTTTGGAATTTTTTTTTATAAGTGTGGTATTATAAGTATAGGTATAATATGCCTCTTTACTATGACGTTTTATCAAACATGGCCCTCTACTATTTTTTACATCAAACATGCCCCTGTACTTTGGAAAACTTATCAAACATGCCCTTTTGTTAAAATTTCCATCCAAAAATCGTTAACCAAGACGAAACTTTGGTTTGGGCGACCCTAATATCTAAAATATCTCTAATAATTTCACTTTAGAGTTTTTTTTGTTCTTTTGTATAGCCAAATAATTTTAATAATTTCACTTTGATGAGACCTAGAGAAATAAAGCAAGGGTCAAAACTGACATTTCCCTCCCATTTATTAATGTCAGGTCGTCTAAATAGAGTGCAATCGAGTCCAACTTCAAGCCTGACAGGGGTCAGGGGCACAGACCCAGTGGTTGACTTTCTCTACCATGCCCATACTTTCCTTAGCCGAAAGGAGACACTACACGGCTCGAATAACCACTTAAGGGCCCACATTTCATTTCTTTTGCCACAAGACACGTTAAATCCGTCCATATGGCTCGAGGAGGAAAAAGGGAGATCTACAAATTACTATAAGGTGATGTCAAAAAAAGCAATTTGCCACGCCAGCCGCTGCCCAATAAACCGCATAGTGCGGAAGGACTTTCCGGTAACTTCACAAATCGCTTTCTTCTTCGGGGTTGTCTTCCATCTCCTCCCAGAAATCTCAGCGCTGCTATCTCCCAAACGAACCCTTGCCAATTCCTCAATCCTCAGTTCTTTTACTCCATCCTCAAATTTCACCCTGTCCCCTGCCCATTACAGCTCCAACCATCCATGGGTTGACACTGAATCAGATTCTGGAATCTCCGTTTGCTCTCTCTACTTCATCGATGTTTCTCGCCGAGCGCTCCAGGAGAAATCACCCTCCTCTCACTCTGTCTCGCTGTCTGTTTCTGTCTCTCAAAACCTATGGGAATCAATTGTAGTCGCCTCTCTCTCTCTATCTCTCTCTCTGAAGAATTCCCACCGCCTCTTTCTCGCTCTTTCCCGTCTATCTCGCATGGCAGGGTCGACAGGTTACGAGTGCGGCTGCCCACCGAACCTCATTGCCGCATTATCTAAGCAATCTTCCATGCCTCTACAATTGTCCAACGACCGTCGACTAATTCAGACGATCCCTTTGTTTCGTCTCCAAAGACGTTTCTAGGTGAAAAAGTTCTTCGACTCCCCCTCACTCTTTCCACCTTCAATCTATTCCTATTCAATCCCAATTCCATCTTTACCCCTTCATGGCGCCCTCTGCAGCGTCTCACCGCAGCCGTGAAATCGGACCAATCTGCCTGTCTCTGTAAGTTCCTTTCGATATGTTGCTATGGGCTTTTGCGGAGCCTGGACATGGGATTTATCCTCCCGTTTTTTATTTCGTCTATGTTTTCTTTCCCAGTGGACATGCAATCCAATTCATGTCTGTTCAATTCGTTTCATGTGGGATTTGGTCCAATAATGATTTCATAATGCAGCAGTTAGCCTTGGCGTAAACCATTAGTTAGCCTCAGCGAGTTAGCTGATTTATTCCGTTATTGTCCTATCGTTGTTTCCCCTATATCTATCTTCCTCTTGCTATTAGTCATTTATTTGTTTGCTAGAAATCTGGAGCAGCAATATTGTTTTTCAATGGAAGTGAAGCATTATAAGAGACAAAGTCTGCAGTCAAGAAGCAAGAGGCCAACAGGCAATTCATAGGTGTGTAGGGCACTGAGGGAAGAAGTACACGGAGGGGGATACACATAAAACTATGAGATGGAACAAGTACGAGCAAGACCAAAAAAGATTACAAAGGGAAGCGGGGTGAGTGACCTTCACCAATATGGGAACGAAAAGCGAAGAACACAGTAGCAAGAGGAGGAGGAAGATTACATGAAGCAGGATAGCGGCAGCAGCAGGCTGATTTTCAATTCGCGATGAATCCATACTCAAAATGTTGTGTTGCAGCCTTGCAGGTTAATAAGCCAAAGCCAAAGCCAATCATCCAAGCAGTGAGAAATTGGGTTTGCAAATATTCTGAAATGCTCTGTTATTTCTTTCCAGCACATACTCCAGTAGAAAGTATGAAGAAAGAACTTAGAAATCCAAGTATGATTGTGCTTTAACTGACCAACTTTCGATGATGGCTTCCATATTGTCAGGTTGTGTCCCGGAATGAAGATCACACGCTTGAGCACTCTCCAAATACCTCAAGATGGGGGGAAGGCCAAATACAATCAAGATTCACTCAAGATTATATGGGATGAAGCCAAATATTAAGCTAGATTTAAAAGATTTTGATAGCATATGTGAGTTGTGACAGTCTGTTTTTTCTTCCTGGATCAATGGGCTTCATGACCATATTTTCTTTGGGTCTTATTTAAATGGTTTGCTCTCATTCTGTTACAAGTCATGTAAGTTTGAATTTAAATTTTGGTACTAATCATCTTTGATTGGATTTAGTTGAATGATTTCAGAGAATCGGGTATGAGAATTAGGAGTGTTTAGTCTTTCATTTCTCCACAATGGATGACAATGCTTTCAAGGTTTTTAGGTCTTGATTTGGTTGCATAGGCAATCGAAGAATATTGG